TTGACAATTTATAGCTCTGTTTTTGCAAGGGTTGATTCTGTGAGCAACAGCACCATCTAGAGGCCTGGCATATGTACTACAGCGTCTCCAGCGCTTTCGAACGGCAATGCCGTGGCTGTCTCCTCCTGATTGGTGGAGTTGGCCCAATAGCCGTAGCGCCACTTTCCTGACGTCAGGAAAGTGTTCAAATCTGGATCAGTTTTTATCAGATCTGTTGCAGCCCCTTTTTTAGAGATTTGGGTATATTCACTGCAAATACAACAGCACTTTGTTCAGAATATCAGTATGAGAAAAAGACACCCTCTGTCCTTAGACCCTCACATCATACAAGGACAAACTTCCAGAGAAAAACCCACATTTCAAAGGGAAAAATGGGAGAAACCTCGGGGAGAGCAACAGAGGAGGGATCCCTCTCCCAGGATGGACAGAAGTGCAATAGATGCCGTGTGTAAATCGAAGAGATAATACATTTTACAGCGTAGGTAGACCGCATGACAAATAAAGAAGTGTAAAGTAAACATTTACATTATTATTATGATTATTTAATATATAAAGACTATATATTATTGAATTACAAGATTAGATATATTTTATTTGATCTAAAATATTGATGTGTTCAAATGCTCTTCTAAACAAAACTGAAAGTCCATGAAAAGTTGTCTTTCTGTATTTGTGAATGAAGCGCCATCTCCTGGTTAAATCCTGAAATTGAAAATCTGGCAACGCCCTCTTGGAAAATAGTGGGAGGGCTTAACATTCCCAGATGCAGGATTGCGGTCGAATACTCCAAAAAAACAGCTCCTAAGTTCTAACCCTATCGTCTATTCCTTGACCTCGGAGTGAAACGTCATGGGGTTAAGGGATAGTGGATAGGAGAATTCAAAAGGATTTAGGAGAAGAGACTGCGGTACTTTAGAGAATCCGACTGCACTTTCACTATCCGACGTGTTTATGATGCGCCAGCGGATGTCATAAATGTGCGTCTGCTGCTGTGGGGAAACTATGGAAACTACAGTTTTCTATTCAGCGGACTACAACATGGATGTTTAATAAGAACGAGGGACTACTGTAAACTCATCTAGAGACTCTGCACCGTGCTCTGATGCTGTTGTTTTATGCTTTATGAACGGGGACAACAGAGAAACATATTCTTCATGACCAAAGTTGGAATTGAAATAAAAAAGGAAAGTGAAACTTATGCTCGTCACCCTCTCCCTCCGGTCCACATAAATACAAATGATCCCAATACGTATGATTGTATGAAAAGATCTTAAAATCAATACAAATGTATTTATTATAAACGTTAGTCCTTAACATCTATCACTGTGTATATCACCATTCAAACATCTTTTAAAAGTTGAACAAACCCCACACAGCTCAGTAAAGACTGTGAAATGTTGACTTTATTTGATCATTTCAGTAAAAACTAACGTTCATATTTCTCTTTTTGATTATAATACTGATGAACGTTCAAAACAAAGCACTTTGGCAACTTACCACATACGTTTTAAAATGCTTAATAAGCACCGTAACTTTCATGATATCATTTCTCGTTCATAATCGGTTGTTTCCGTGAACGGCCGACTGTTGTGTGACGGCAAATGCTGCGGCCGCAAGGCATTGTGGGGCAGCATGTTCTCCTCTCCTTTAGGTTAGGGAGGTCCAGTGGTTCCTAAGCTAAAGGAGGTTATAAAGGAAGTTTGAAACCTCCTTTCCTTTTAATTTAGAGAATTCGAACGGCACTTATCATGGCTGCCACTGAGGGACTTCCGGGTCATTTCACTCCGTTAGGAAGGTTCCTAAGCTAAATGGACTATTCGACCGCAACCCTGGTCTTAGGCAGGTCTTAGGCAGGAAGCAGGCAGGAAGCTGTAAGCTGAAGTCCTATCTGGAGTGCTACATCTGTAGCATTTAGTTTATTTAATAATATATCATATTTTGTTCTTTTATTTGCCTCACCAGAAAACAGTCACACCTCCTCTTGAAGACATTTTGCCTCCTGCTATCGACTTCAGGTTCACATTAGGTAAGCCCTTGAGTGTGTCAGACTAAAGTTGTTGTTTCAGAGGTTAATTCAAGACGTGTTATGTTTACATTCTAATATAATGAGCATCAGGTAAACGTACGCATTTCTATTTTTTTTTTAAATCACAGATGTAAACTATGCAGCACTAGTGTCACCACTCAAAGTGATATTTTAAAACCTGATCGACTCCATCATGGAACCTTTGGACAGAAACGTGCCTTGCCCTGCATTCATGTAGACTGGCCTGAGCTCTCACTTATCAAGATAAAATTTGAAATAATCGTCTGTTCTTATTTATTCTAGGACCCATATGCCACTTTATATAAAACTCTGAGCATGAGGTGGGGTTAAAAAGAAGTAGTTGGACATTTTATGAACTATATCAATATCATGACTATGCGTTTCATTTTTTTGCAAACCAGCCTTTTTTTGATGGCTTAAACCCCTTGTAATGCATGTGAATAGCAGCTCTGTTACCGTCTGTTAACAGCTAATGTAAACTGGCTGTACTCGTTATGATTTCAAGACGGATTTGATTTTTGTTGTTGAGGAAAACACATGGTGTGTCCTGATTTGTACTCAATTTAGTGTTTCGTTTGTATATATATATATATACAGGGAACAGCAGAGGTCGAAGTGCAACAGAGGCTTGTGATGCACAGCATGAAGTTATACGTTGCCCACGAGCCAGATGCAGTTGGAATAACCATCAAGTAATAACCATGTGTCTCCATGTATGTTAATGTGTTTTAAACAAACGTGTTACTGTTTTATGAAAACTGTTTTGAAATAATCACATTTTAATCAAATGGATTAACATGTCCATAACGTTCCCTTTTTTAAATCTATTTGTTTAATCTGCAATGTTTCAATGCTATCAAATATTTAAAGGGTTGGATTGAAATCAGGAAGAGTTTGTCGTATATAGGTTCCGGCAACGCAATTGTGTTTTATAATTTACTTTATTTATTCTTGTCTTATGTGGTTCCTAACTCCTCTTTTCACATGCAGAAAAAAAATCACATGAGTGAGTTTACCCAACTCCTAAAATTGCTTGGAAACTGTTGACACATTGTTTTTAAGTTTTAGCAAAGTAACACGTTCTAGAAAACTAAAAAAGTAAGTTTCACCAACTCAAAAAATGCAAAAGTTGACTAAACTCTTAAAATTGCTTGGAAACTGTTGACACATTATTTTACATTTTTACCAAAGCAACAGTTTTTACAGTGTTGCTTTCTATAACAAACTAGATAAAACGTTAAAGGTGGGGTGGGTAATTTTGGAGAAACCAGCTCGAGTGCGCTAGAATTTGAAAATACACAGCCGGAACAAATCTGCCACTTCCTTACAGAGCCCCTCCTCCAACACACACGAACGTGCACATGACCAATGAGGGCACGAGATACGTTTGTGCACAGATGGAAGGCTGACAGGCAGGTAGGCCATCCAGTTATTTTAGCCGGGCCGGCTAAAATGATTGGTCGTGCTTTTTACAGTATTACGGCTTCCACAGATGACATTTTTTTATGGATTTTTTGTCAAAGCACTTCAGATATTCATTGCTATCGGGATGTTAAGAGCATTCCATGGAATATAACAAAAAGTGTATCTCGAGCCGGTTTCTCAAACTTACCTACCCCACCTTTAATGCCCTGGCAGTGGCAAATAGCTTTGGTTTTATGCTTGATTATATTAATGTTTTTTTAGATTTACAAGAAATATTTTAAATGCTACTCTGTAAAGGGAATAGGCCTACTACTGTTAAAAATAACCTTATTTGTTTAAAATAAAAGTAAGCAATTCACTACTTTTGAATTCATTATTGAATTTTGTGCATAACTGTTGGATAAAATACAAGTTGTGTGTAAATATGTGTGACTGCACTGTGTATGACCTTGCAGCTGCCTCTTCTAATGATAGGAGGAGGCAGGGCATTTCAGGTTGTTGATATTTATGAAAGGACACATACTTGTTGTCTCCTAAATACCTCATGGGGCAAAGAGCAACAGTGGCGTGAAGGACGTACGTGACTCTTTCCAGAAGACGTCGCAGATGTCCCCGTCACCTTTCCGACACCTGCTGATGATATTAGCGCCACCTCGATTTATGACTTTGTTGTTATCTCCGTATTTTGGACTATATAAGCCTGATGTTTTGTCCTGCTCCGTTGAGCAACATACCCCATGTGTACGAGTTAACCCATATCCTTTGTATGTGATTTAACTCTGCTCCTTCTTGCAAGAATAAATTAGTACCCGATTATTGATTCTCAACCCGGTGTCGAGTGATATTTTCCTAACAATAACATTGCAAAAAAAACATTTGATCAATCATGATTCAAATGTTTAATCGTTGCCCAGCACTAATAAATAGTCAGAAGTGTTACCAAATAGTTTAAAGCAGGGGTGTCCAAACTTTAAAAAGACAAATGTACGAAGGGCTGGGCCACTTATAGAGGTGAGGTATATTGCCTCGTAAGATAAGTTATAAGTTAGCAAAATGTAGGTAAATTAGGCTCGATACATTAATATGCTTTAAGAAAAAAACAGCCTACATCACAGCTCTCCATAGGGTTTCATTTATCTTTTTGGCAGCTCATCCCTAAAAAAAGGAGTCTCAGTGATTATAATAACATGAAATATGAAGGGTCTATTTCAAGCTTGTTATGTAAATAAGTTATTAGGCTTTTTTGTATCAACTAAGATTTGTTAGAATATGTTATCAACATGAATCGACTACATTTATTTTAAAAGTGGGCTTATTAACACACGAATACTACTGTGTTATATATTTGTACAAATATATTTAAGAAGTACAATATGAGAAAAGCACAAGTTTCATTTGCGGGCCATATTTCATTATACTTTTTGAATTAGCTGAGGGCCGATTCAAAATGGCCAGGGGCATTTGGCCCCCGGGCCGTAGTTTGGACACCCCTGGTTTAAAGTGTTAATTAAGAGTAAAGGGAACATACCTGCTCTGTGTATCCGAAGCTGAGGCTGTAAAACAGCGTCCAGTCGTTTCTGGAGTCTCTCGTTCTCCTCTTTTGAACGAGACAGCTTCTCCTCGAGCTCTCCTATAGTTTTTTCAAACAGAGCAAATATATCTTCAGCAGCAGCAGTGAGTCGCTGCTTCTTCAACGACAGCAGCATTTGGACTTTACTCATGTTTACTAGATCACGTTTTCCTGCAAACTCCGTTAAACACACCGTTTCTCTCTCAATCAAACTCTCGATCTGACTAGTGTTGCTAACGTGTTTCCAGCTAGCATGCTAAGCTAACTCCTATAGTCCGAGGTAAACGCTCCAGAAAAAAGAGCACAGAGTCCATTCAGAGGTTTATCCAGACACACAGATGATGGATCAGTAGTGCTGGAGCTCACACACACTTTCTCAGGAACACAGAGAGAGAGAACCGTAGCGACGAAACGCCACCAGGGGGGTATACTACGAATCTAGTTCAACATATCCTGGATATGTTTTGAGTTATCCGGTTGACTAAATCCAAAACAAACCCGCTCTCGCTAAACGGTCCTACGACGCTGGCTATCAACTCGATCGCTCAAGCCAGCCGTGTCCTATCTAGTTAGGTGCGCGTTCACATACAAGGGGTGGTATTTGGAGTGTTCGACCAATCACAAACATGGACAAGCCGTGTACTGACAGTGCAGCGCGTCATATATTTCCTGAATGAAAAGTCAACTAATATTAGACAAATATGAAGACGTTAAACTTTAAACATCCATGACTTAAACACTTTATCCAGGATAAAAGCCACATAGTTGCAGCTGCAAGGTGAATACTGCTGGTAAAAGAAAAAGTGTTTGAATACGTTCATTAACAGTTTTATGATATCACTGCCCCGTCCAAGACACGAGTGGATCTGACTTTAATTACATTTGACTCGAGTGTTTCGTCAACTTAATGTGTTGCTTAAAATAATACTTCTGCATACAGTATGTGACACTGTGAGTGTTGCACGGCCAGATACGGCTCAAGAAGCTGACTCAGATAAGAAAATATATGATACATTATGATGTGATATCATGTGATATGAATGATAATGGGACACATCGACGTCTGCATTCACAGTGCCGCGGACTGTACTTAATGTTACTCTGATCCGGTTACTTATGTTGTGGCAGATATTTAAGTAAGCTTTCTTAACGCTAATGTTATAATAGTCAGATTGCTCTGAAGATGGGAGGTGATATTCTATTCATTTTCACGTTCACATAGTCGGTGATTTTGGCCGGCCGTCTTTCCTGCAACGGCAGTTTAAACTGTATTTCCTTTCTCCTGTCATATGAATTGATATCTTTAAACTCCGCACACTGAGCTCTGATTAGTCAGCAGGCAGTGCTTTTATCCTGGAACCTATCCTGCTCCGGAGGCTAGCCGTTCAGAATAAGTTATCTAGCCCACTAAGAAGTGAACCAGCGTCGTAGGACCGGAAATCCCTGAAGTTAGCTTGCTAAACGAAAATCCTGATTCGTAGTATAGGCCCCTGGACCCAGTCGAATTGTCAGTTTAGCTCAAGCCCCCAGGAAGTGCGCCGGTGTTCCGGATTAACTGTTTTTTAGATCAACTGGTTTACGGGAGGCAGAGGTGGGGGGCGCGGCCTTCGACTGAAATTCAAATCGAACACATTTCGATCGCTTCTTCTGTGTGTGTCCGCATCTGTAGCCTGTTATTGTCTCATTATACCGCACTGTCAATTAATTAAAAGTAAATATATAAGTCATCATGAACACATCTGCCCATCAGACAGAGGGCTGCTGTGCCTCCTGTCATCATTAATGGACGTCTCTTTAAAATGACCGCTCAGAGGAGAGGAGTTCTCATTTCTCTAACCGCCTGCTGCTTCCCCTCCTCTCTCCTCGGTTCCCCTCCTCGGCTCCTCCGCTCGCATCTCCTGTGGGCGGGACTAAAGGCCCTTACACACCAGGCCGATATCGGCCGTCTTGCGTTGTTGGGCGAAAACGGGTTCCTTGTCGCCCAAATTCAATTTGGTGTGTCCCGAACCCTCGGCCGTGACACGCCTTATTTGGCCTTTCACGGTCGACACCCGGCCGATTCAACATGTTGAATCGGCCGGGTGTTGGACACAAGCTATCGGGCCAAGAAACCACTCTGATCAGCTGTTCAGCTTGCAAATGAGAAGCGAAACGGAAGTGAGGGACGTAAACAAACGATTTAAGGCACAAGACAGCAGCTAAACACCAGCAGGTGATACTTAAAGACATCAAACATAGCCCTTAAATGTCCTCTCTTACCTCCCACACATAGCAGGGACATCTCTGATATCGGCGGGAGCGTCCCCGGCTGTCCTCTGCTGAGAGCTCCGTGATTTGTTTGGTCAAGTCCGGTTTTTCATCTCATCGTAAATTTAGCAAGAAGTGGCCATTATTACATTGCTGACTCAATAAACTACACACCCGCCAGAACACTGCGATCATCAGATGCAGGTCTATTAACTGTGATTTTATAGTATGTCTGCACTTTATGTGCTCATTTCATCATGCATGTATTTTTATATTCTAAAACATGTTTTCGATGGACGAGAGTGAAAATGGAACGGCACCCGCCGCTATTTGTTTGTATATCAGTCTGTTCTTCTTCTCTGTCTTCCGGTTGTTGCCTATTTTGAATGACGAATACACACTACCGCCGGCTGCTGGTAAGGAGAGTTATTGCCACTCACGCATGCGCAGTTCGTACGTGCTCGGCTGTAGTAAAGCGGTGTATTTCAGTGTACACACGGCCAAGACGCAGGAGAACTCGTCGATGGATCTGTCGGTGTCGGATGTCGGCGAGTTCTCTGGTGACTGCCTGGTGTGTAGGGGGCTAAAGTCTCGAGGATAGGAGTCGAGGAGGGGAGTCGAGGAGGGGAATTTTGGCGCATTTCCACTACAGCGCGGAGCCCCGTTTAAGAGAGCTGTGACGTCAGCGGCCCGTCTTTGGTTGCGTTTCCACTTGGCCTAGTACCGGCTAGCGGGTCCTAATTCACAGTTTTTCTGGCCCCATAAAATCATGGTTCTAGGGCCAGGAACAACGAGGCTGAGTCGGGCTGAGTATGCTAAACTAGAGAGAGAATCGCTGGCAAGGGGGCTACAACTACAACAAGATGGACATATTTGACCGTGATTTAATTGTAATACACGTTTCAAAAAGATGCCGAAGTAACAACATACTGATACCGGTTAGTAAAAACCATGAATTAATGCTTTGACAAGTCTGCAGACAGACGGCAGGCGAAAAACCTTTTAAAAAATGCGTGTTTTCTAAATGGAGATTGGCTAAGCTAACGCAGTATATGCTCCGACCGTCCACACTCACAACAACGGCCTATACAGACATAAATAAACCAGCGACTGTATTCACCATGACACAGGCAGTCTGTGGTTTGTACTTGTTTAACTTTTGTCTAGTTTCTGAACATATATGAGGAGCTGTGAGCTCTGAGTGCTAACAGCTAACGGCTGTGTTGTTTTTCTGGGGTTCTCATTGAAGATGACGTCACGGCTCCGCCTACACTGCGTTACTATAGATACTACCCCAGTTCCTAAACTGTAATGGAAATGCGCCATAAAGTGAGCCAGTCCTAACGAGGCCTAGCCATACCGAGCGAGGCCGTGTAGTGGAAATGCGCCATTTGATGAAATGAGAACGGCCCCCGGTGTCGACTGATATTTTCCTAACAATAACATTGCAAAAAAAACATTTCATCAATCATGATTCAAATGTTTAATCGTTGCCCAGCACTAATAAATAGTCAGAAGTGTTACCAAATAGTTTAACGTGTTACCAAAGAGTTTAAAGCAGGGGTGTCCAAACTTTTTTTCACAGAGGGCCACATACAGACAAATGTACGAAGGGCTGGGCCACTTATAGAGGTGAGGTATATTGCCTCGTAAGATAAGTTATAAGTTAGCAAAATGTAGGTAAATTAAGCTTGATACATTAATATGCTTTAAGAGAAAAACAGCCTACATCACAGCTCTCCATAGGGTTTCATTTATCTTGTTGGCAGCTCATCCCTTAAAAACAGAAGTCTCAGTGATTATAATAACATGAAATATGAAGGGTCTATTTCAAGCTTGTTATGTAAATAAGTTATTAGGCTTTTTTGTATCAACTAAGATTTGTTAGAATATGTTATCAACATGAATCGACTACATTTATTTTAAAAGTGGGCTTATTAACACACGAATACTACTGTGTTATATATTTGTACAAATATATTTAAGAAGTACAATATGAGAAAAGCACAAGTTTCATTTGCGGGCCATATTTCATTATACTTTTTGAATTAGCTGAGGGCCGATTCAAAATGGCCGGGGCATTTGGCCCCCGGGCCGTAGTTTGGACACCCCTGGTTTAAAGTGTTAATTAAGAGTAAAGGGAACATACCTGCTCTGTGTATCCGAAGCTGAGGCTGTAAAACAGCGTCCAGTCGTTTCTGGAGTCTCTTGTTCTCTCGTTTTGAACGAGACAGCTCCTCCTCGAGCTCTGCTATAGTTTTTTCAAACAGAGCAAATATATCTTCAGCAGCAGCAGTGAGTCGCTGCTTCTTCAACGACAGCAGCATTTGGACTTTACTCATGTTTACTAGATCACGTTTTCCTGCAAACTCCGTTAAACACACCGTTTCTCTCTCAATCAAACTCTCGATCTGACTAGTGTTGCTCGCGTGTTTCCAGCTAGCATGCTAAGCTAACTCCTATAGTCCGAGGTAAACGCTCCAGAAAAAAGAGCACAGAGTCCATTCAGAGGTTTATCCAGACACACAGATGATGGATCAGTAGTGTTGGAGCTCACACACACTTTCTCAGGAACACAGAGAGAGAGAACCGTAGCGACGAAACGCCACATGGACCCAGTCGAATTGTCAGTTTAGCTCAAGCCCCCAGGAAGTGCGCCGGTGTTCCGGATTAACTGGTTTTTAGATCAACTGGTTTATGGGAGGCAGAGGTGGGGGGCGCGGCCTTCGACTGAAATTCAAATCGAACACATTTCGATCGCTTCTTCTGTCGTTTACATAGATATGTTGTTATATTAGGCTCGGTTGGAAGACTTTGATGCACATTCTGTACCAGTGTGTGAGGTTGTGGTTACGATGGCGATATCCGGACGTGTACAGCGAGGACTACAAAAAGACAAACGAGGTGACTGGGGATGTCTGTTCAAAACATTGCGAGCTCAAATAAATCATTTAAACCAGCTATTGTTGCCAGACTTATCACTGAATATCGTTCTTAATGTGATACCAAGTCCATCTGAGACCTGTGTACACCTTCAGACAGCCTCCAAGTGAAGCGTACGTTGTTAACTCACAGTTTGAGAGCAGCGTGGAGAAGTCTTCAGCTGTGGTATAGCAGCAGAAATGTCATTGCTGCATGTGCAGGGATATTTAGACTTTAAAATGCTGATGGGTCATTAATGTTGGTCTCGGCAAACAATATTAGGAATCCTCTGTTCAAACAAAATATTCAGTGTCCATCGACATGAAAATAACAAAAAAGTTCATGCTGGACTCAAACCCGAGTCCCAACAGCATAAATCATTCAAGCTATGTGCGTTATGAGTGTGCCACAAATCAATACGACATCATGGTCCAGCACAGCTCATTTTGTTATATTAACATTGTTAAAAAGTTCCAGAAAATGCAACCCGACCATCATTTATAATGTGAGCGAATGTATGTACACTTTAAGCCATATAATATATAATATACATATTATAGTATGGCATTTGCTTATAAACAGTATATACGGGGTACGGACTGAGGTCTGTATCCAGCCTCATTAAGACCCACCGAGATCAGATATCCTGATTTCAGCCTGCAAGCCTACATTATGTTGTGATAAGTGTTAATTTTACATATAAATGTGTTCTAGTGCACACATAAAGTTCCAATTTGCAAATCAGGCCATGTGTTTCGTTATATATATAATTGCCATGCACATTATAAACTATACAATATAATATTTAGCCTCACAATATAGACATTTTTAAACGCTTACTTTCTAAATAGGCCCCCATTTCCTGTTGCTATGTCTGCTAATGCAGTAGCTGATAGGATGTAAACCTTGACCAAAGCTGTTGTGCTAGAAACAGAATGCAATTAAAAAAAGGTTTATATTCTAGCAATACTGCCTGTCTTTTCTGTCTTGCGACAGACTCACCAAAATAAAATACTTAACAGCATTGGGTATCAAATCGACTCGACATCATATTATTAACGATGATACAAATGTAAGACTGACAACAACAATAGTTTGTAAAGGATTTATTGACGTGAGTGTTTTGCTGCAAAGTTATAAGGGATAAACGTGTGTGCAGTCTTTCATATTAAACATGATCGCTGGTAGATAGCCACAGAAGTCGGATCACAGTTTAACCTGGGCGGATCACAATTTAACCTGGGCGGATCACAGTTTAACCTGGGCGGATCACAGTTTTACCTGGGCGGATCACAGTTTAACATGGGCGGATCACAGCTGTGGCATCACTGGCATCTGTAGTGAGCTGTGATCCGCCCATGTTAAACTGTGATCCGCCCAGGTTAAACTGTGTTACGACTTATGTGGCTGTGACTTCCGTTATGCATCGATACAGCGAAACAAACCGAATGACGAGGATAGTATCTCACATACGTTGAGAACTACAAACATATATTCATATTTTTTACACTGCCGTGAACATGTTTTCGTTTCTATCTTAATGTTTATGCTTTTAGCTTTGTGGTCTTTGTTCTTATATTTTGTATCTATTTCTGTGTAACTTGGTAATATTAATATTAATTCCTTGTTATTGTTGTCTTTCCATCTGTCGGTGCTGATTATAACGAAACACATGGCCTGATTTGCATATTGGAACTTTATGTGTGCACTAGAATACATTTATATGTAGGATTAACACTTATCACAACATAATGTAGGCTCGCAGGCTGATAAACTAGAATATCTGATCTCGGTGGGTCTTAATGAGGCTTGATACAGATCTCAGTCCGTATATACTATTTATAAGCAGAGATGGGGTCGTTACTAAAAAAAAGTAATATATTACATATTACATATTACTTTAAAAAAAAGTAATATATTACACTACTTCGTTACTCTCTACATAAAGTAACTCGTTACTTTACTCGTTACTTTACTCGTTACTTTACTCGCAGGGCCGGCCCGCCCCTCCCTACAGGCAGATCATGCAGACTGCTAAAGTTTCAAATGTTCTCTTTAGTTCAGTTTCCATTGTCGCATAAGACTGATCCAGATAGCTCTGACTATGGCTGTCCTCTGTCTCCTGCTATCTGTATTTTGCACAGTATATCTCTGAACGATGCGATGGTGATTCCACTGTGCAAATGGGCAACATTACCTCTACTATGAAGGATGCTACAAGCCTGTCCATCTCTGCTTTGGTTACCGGTCCTCCAAATTCTAATTTGTGCCGCTTCAGAGTCGGCGGCGGGGCACTCACAACATCCTCACGCTGGGTTCGGGGGTCCGGTCCTTAGCTATTAGCTTCACCTTAGCATGTGTTCTTTGCAGGTGTTTGTTGAGGTTTGACGTGGTGTTTGCAGCAAAGGATAACAGCTTCTGGCCTGGACACAGTTTGCACCTCACCGTCACATTCCTGTCTATTCTTCGGACGAACTCAAAGTAATGGGCATACCTCCACCCAGTGGCGGCCGGTGGTCTTTTCTTTTGGTGGGGCTCTTGACGTACCGTAAGTGACCTGTCCGGGGGGTCCGGGGGGTTTCCCCCCGAAATTTTTTTTCGAGAAATGACCCCTTAAATGATGACTTCTGGTGATGTTAGAGGGGGGGGGAAAGGAGAGAAATCGAGGCTTAATAAAATATGAGAAGACTGATCAATACCTCCATAATCTTCAGTGTGGAAAATATTATTTATCAACCTGAACATCTACTACTTTACCAGGAATTTGTGTTCTCAGAACTGGTCTGTTTTTTTCTTTCTTAAAACTGTTCATGTTTTATGAACCAACACCTTCACCAAGTAGCTTTACAGTGAACTGCATGTGAGATATAAAATTAATAGCATCTTTTCAGTAGCATTAATTATAAATATTTAAGTGGTTCAATACAAGTCACTACAGCATTTCAAACTGAACTGTGAATAAATGCAATTTAAAAAAATAACCACAGCACAAAATGTCATAAATTGTGTTTTTTCTTTGTTTCCTCTGAGGATTATTTACAAACAGGCTTATTTACATATAGCAATAACTCAGAAATGAAAAAGCTACATCGTCTAACACGAACAAACCAGTTAGCATAATGATAATATATGTGTTATGTACAATGTAACTGGCAAGGCTAGAGCAAGAAAGAACATAAAGTTTGCAAAAGGTTTAAATAACTTCAAGTATCTGTCTTCAGATTACGTGGAGGTTTTAGTCCGATGGGAAGCAGATTTTAAGCGACACCGAAGATAAACCAAAAATGTGGTGGAGCTGCAAACCGTGTAGTGTTGCTGGGACAGAACAGGAGCTATAACCGTTGGAAAATACATCACAGACAATGCAACAAACGTGGAGACAGAACAATCACTTCTGTGATAAATGCCCACTTATTAATAAACTTCTAACAACCATGGGAAACCTCCTCTCTACATATAAAGTGATATCCAAGCATGGGAAACAAAAGACAGCATTTACCTGTTTGCATCCAGCTAGCCAAGCCTTTCTTGTGTACCAGCTACTAAGCCTCGTGTATAAATGTTGTCTTTTTCACGAGATTGCTGCGATATATTCAAATCGGGTTGGTCCGGTGCAAGGTCTTTAAGCAACAATTTATCTGCCAAACTTCTCCTTTCGAAAGGATTGGAGATTAGCTCTTGAACAGAATTAGCCGGGGACCGAGGTCCGGAGACTCCACCTGCACACGAAGCCATCCTCATCAACTACTGCGTCAACCGGATACGAGTCACTGTCCAAACTACTCACAGACTGCACTGGGCGCTGACATTGGCGCCCGGTGACCGTCATCTTTGACGACGCTGATTGGCTGAAATTATATTTTCGCGGCATAGTTTACACGTTACAGATAGCAACAGTCAGCTGCTGGTGGCTGCTGCTGCACTGGTTGAAGGCTCCTCTCTTAGCGCCCAGACGAGAGAGAAGGTGCATGGGCAAGTCCAGGCAGGAAACATGTGACTTATCAGTAACTTTAGACATCGTAAACACAATTTTAAACGAGATTTTATTGTAGATTATACATTTTACTGATACCAATTATATAATATTTACCTTGTTCATTAAAAATAAAAATAAAAACATATATATTTTTTTAAACATATTTTTTTTTTTTTTTTTTAATTTTAATTATTATTTATTTTTTTTCAATATGGGAAGAGGTGGGGCGGCGCCCCTAGCGCCCCTATGGACCGGCCGCCACTGCCTCCACCCCTCGAAAGTTATCACTGACTCTGCCATGTTTATGCAGCATTGCACGTGGAGATGTGGACGCGCAAGTCGCGCAGATTACGTACATATAAACCTGCGGCGGAAACCCCTCTTGTCTGTCAGTGTGATTATGACTGATTTTATAAAAGTAACGAAGTAACGCGTGACGGGGCAATGTTAGTAACTGTAGTGTGATTACTGAATTATAAAAGTAACGCGTTACACTACTCCGTTACCGACAAAAGTAATATTATTACAGTACTTTGTAACGCGTTACACCCAACTCTGTTTATAAGCAAATGCCTATTATAATATTTATATTATATATTATATGGCTTAAAGTGTACATATATTCGCTCACATTATAAATGATGGTCGGGTTGCATTTTTCTGGAACTTTTTAACAATGTTAATCTAACAAAATTAGCTGTGGTGGACCTTAGTGTCTTATTGATTTGTGGCACACTCATAGCGCGCAAGGCTCGAGTGATTTATGCTTTTGGGACTCGGGTTTGAGTCCAGCATGAACTTTGTTATTTTCATGTCGATGGACACTGAATATTATGTTTGAACAGAGGATTCCTAATATTGTTTGCCGAGACCAACATTAATGACCCATCAGCATTTTAAAGTCTAAATATCCCTGCAGCAATGACATTTCTGCTGCTATCTTTGCAAAACGAGTTAACAGTCACATCTTATCTGGATGAGTGCTGCAGAATACCGTTTTTATAAGGGATACATGCAGGGGTTAAATTGGGCCGGGGCTGTCCGGGGCTAAGCCCCGGCACATAGGACGATGCTCTGACTTCATCACCCTCGCACATTTGTATTCCAAAAACGATATGTTAAAACTTTTCTTGTTCTTAATATAGACTATATTTAGGGTCGATATGTGTTGACTTTATTTTAAAATAGCAGATCTCTGTGACCGGATATAGTTTTTCGGTCCCAAGTCCCCCCCACTTTTTCAAATGATTAGTTTAGACCCCCCCACTTTTACTATGCGGAAAGTCCGTGAATCGGTCTATCCACTCGCCGCACTTTGTAGAGCGCTGTGTCAGTGCTTCACTATCAAATGAAATCCATTCCACTTGCTTATTGAGAGAATGCCCAAATCAATGAAACTCCGTACCATGTTTTCACTGCTACTTTGTACCAAGGCAGATTCTCACATAGCGTGCGCATGTTCAAGGAGTGTTGTCATAGTTGGACAGCTCAGGGGCCCTCATTTATAACGCCTTGCGTAGGATTGACGTGAGAAGGTTGCTTACGTAGTACAAAGCAAAAAAATAGGTACAGAAATTCTCCGACATTTTCCGATTCACAAAACATTGCGTACCGGCGAGGGAAGTGCGTACCGGCACTTCCTACGCCTGTTTCCCTTTATAAATCACAATCGACTCGAAATGCGGCGCAGCTTTTGCAGGGCTTCACGTAACGCCCATATTTGCCTATAAATAGTCAAAGAAACGCCCATTCATTCATACATTTTGACTGACTGCATGAAGAAGATCGCAGGAAATTACGACCGAACAGCTAAAAAAGACATCTCACACCGTGTCAGATTTTGGTTATTTTGGGGAGGTCGAGATAAATCATATTGTTTGGTG